AAATGGTGATGTTGATCATATGAAATGATTAGATGGCCACATGTGATAATGATCAACAGCCTGTTCGGGAGGCCGTAAACGATCGTGGATTATTTACTGCTGGCTGGTTTGGTGTGAGAGAAAAATACTGTTCCGGCTGGAAATTTACGATCGTTCACGACCAAGCGAACAGGCTGCAAGTGCTCAACTTGAAAAAGAAGAAAGAGAAAAACAAAACCCTATAGAGATCAAGGCAAAGGTATAATTAGGGATTTTATTTTAGTGACCAAGACACTATAGAGAGTGTGATCACATTTAGAAATGCTAACTTGGCTTTAACATGTTTTTGAGAAAACACTTTGAGAGTTAGCATCGCTTGCAAAGTAGTGTTAGACTGCTTGTGGATCGAATCGAGAATCGAAAATGCAGCTAACGGAGATTTTTGCCTCGGGGTGGTCACCGGCATGGGTGCGGCGGTGCACCGCCCTGGCCTGTCCGATGATAGGATGGACATGGTACAGCGCAGCAGCACTGGGGTGGTCATCGGATGTGACTATGTGCACCGCCCCTGGCACGGTGGTGCACCGTCACTGGCTGTCCGGTGCCACCACCGCTTTTTAACCGAGGCTGGGACTTGCTGGAGTTAGGACCGAGAAGGCACCGCCCTGGTCACTGCCATGGGGTGGCGGTGCACCGCCCTAATTATCCAGAGAGGGATGTTTTTAGGGCTCGGCCAGGGTGGCACCGCCACCCCCTGTCCGGTGCCACCGTCGCCCCTGTCCGGTGACCAACTAGCCGTTGGTCGACCGTTGGAGCACCGTCACCCCCTGTCCGGTGCCCTCACAGAAAGCAGTTCCAAGGAGTAACGGCTCTATTTGCTTGTGTGGCTATAAATAGAGGGTGTGGCCGGTCTTGACCACTCTCTTGGCACCTCATACACTTGTGCACACCCTTTGGAACACACTCCACTCACTTGTTCACTTGATTTTATCATCTTGAGTGAGATTGGAGAGCCTATAGTGTATTGCATTGAGTTGTATCATCGTGTGACACTAGTTGGGTGATTTGGGCTGGTTAAAAGCTTGTTATTCGTGGTGTTTGCAGACACCTTGACGGCCCGGTGGTTGGAGGATTGTTGAGCGGAGTTGGTGATTGTCTCCGGCCTCGATTCGTTGCTTGTGAGGGGTCTTGTGCCTTCTCCGGCGGAGCGCTAAAGGCAACTCTAGTACATTACTCGTGTCATTGAGCTACCTCACTTGTGAGTAGGGTCTTGCGGTGTCCAATTATGTGGACGAGGTTTGTGCAACACCTCTTAGCCGCCGAACCACCAAATGTTGGTCGACACAACGGGGACTAGCGTGCTGGCAAGCACGTGAACCTCGGAAGAAAAATCTTGTGTCTCTTGTGTGATTGGATTTCTCCTGGTGATTGGTTGTCTCCACATTGTGATTGGTTCATTCTTCTACGCAGCAGTATAATCACCCTACTCACTCATTTACTTTCCCGCAAACTACTTATAGTAAACTCTTTAGTGTAGCTAGAATTGAGAGCTTGCTTTGTTACTTAAATTCATCTAGTTCTTTAGTGTAGCAATGAGTAGTGACTTAGCCAATTATGTGCCTAATGATTATAGTAACTAGAATTATTGAATAGGTGGCTTACCGTCTTTGTAGAGCTAAAATAAATTTACATTTTGCTATTTATCGTACTAATCAAATCGCTAATACTACCATAGTCGCACGAACCTGTGTTGGCTTGGACGCCGTAGTCGCTGTTTGCCTGTAAATCTCCAGCGAGGTATAGGTCGTATCCGTCTCTGGCGTGGCACCTGGCGTTGAGAAGCAAGCAAGCTAATACTACCTTTGTAAGAGCATCTCCAACATATCTAAACAATTGAGTGCAAAAAAACTTAGGTTTGGAATATTTCTAAAACTAAAAACTATCGGATAAAAAAATCACCCCACCAAAAATTCACTTCTATCCATTCCTAAAAACATACACATCATCGTTTCCTGTATATAACGAAATGCCAGACCACGAACGAAATAACTCACCACTAAGGCTGCCCATCCCGGTACTCTAGCTCTCAACCAAAACCACCTTCAAAACAAAATCTTCACTGTCTGTTGTACTCATAGTATTCTCACATTTAAAAATAGAGGCAGAAGATCCTATTTCGATAAAACTCCTAGGCAACAGAAACCGTCGAGCCATGGCTAGCCATCCTAGCCCCATAACTCACACCCAGAATCTCTAAAAAAGACGAATCTCCATTGCTTGCTTTATATCCCAATATTATATTATTAGATATGAAAATAGTGAACAGAGATCCAATCTTAGTGAACAGTCAGGTGGAGATGGTAGCGACAATCGATATAGGGAGTATCGATCATCCACATATCTCTCCACGTGGATGACTCAATTTTCCCAGGGGTAGATAAATTGAGAGTTAGGATAAGGAACTGTGTTGTAATGGGATTTTTTCCCCTCATGCAAAAAAAGAAGAAGTTGGTTTACCAAAGCGCGTGTTTAGTTGGGGGAATTTGGGAATTTGGACTACCGTAGCACTTTCGTTTTTATTTGGCAATTAGTGTTCAATCATGGACTAATTAGGCTCAAAACGTTCGTCTCGCAATTTTCAACCAAACTGTGCAATTAGTTTTTTTTCGTCTACATTTAATGCTCTATGCACGTATCGCAAGATTCGATGTGATAGGTACTGTAGCACTTTTTGGGAATTTGGATGGCAACTAAACACGCGCAAAGTGTTGGAGATGCTCTAAGAGTCAATAGATTGCAAGGTGTAGCTTGCTAGATCAATATTTCAGATGGTCCAATCTACTTTTATCAACGAGATTTGTTCCTTTTCTATAAGTTAAGTTTAAATTAAGTGTGAATATATGTGAACATGATTTCCAATTAGAATAAAAATTATTTTTTAATTATTATTTTCATAAGTTATGGGAATTAATATTAAATTTTCCATAGATAGATATACGGAATTGACTAAAAATAATAATGAATTTTTTGGTGTATTTTGCAAATATAGGACATCGAGTCCTATATTATCCCACAAATCTAACTTCAAATTCATCTTTTTGGAGGAGAAATAAAGAAGACCAATCTCATTAGTGGTAAACTAGACCAATTGAAATAGTTTCAAACAGTATCGAGCCAAATTTGATATAGCAACTTGTTAGATGAGTAAAATGAACTTCTGCGCGTGATGCACGATGCTTAACTAGGCAGCTCTAGCCAACAATAGACCAAATAGGCTCTAAGAGCAGCTCCAATAAAAGCCCACAAATCAGAGTCCCTATTTTTTATTTGAAGACTTCTCATTTTTTAGGTCTAAATTTTTGCATCTGTTCACGTACTATCCCTCAAATCAGGGCCCTCAAATCTATGCTAACAGGCAATCACACGTAGGACTCATCCATATCATCCCCTCCTCGCTCTTACCTACTGAGCTATGCATGACCGCCTCGTTGCATGTCATGAACACAGAGAAAAGGTGCGGTACATCTTGCGGACATGGAGAGGAGGCGCCTTCTCTCCAGGGAGCGTGGGTCCTCTCTAGAGGTGAAGAGCGAGACCTCGCTGGAAGAAAGGAGCCACACCGGATCTCCGTGAGCGGAAGAGCCTCACCGAATCTTCGCGAGAAAGCCGCATCGAGCGGGGTCGGAAATGCCAGGAGCGCGTCGAGATCTTGGATCTCGTAGGTACGGGGAGGGTTGTCGCTGGTGAGGGCTCGTAGGGATAGGGAGGGTCACCTCATGTGAGGGAGGGGTGCGAAGGTCGTCAGTGAGGAATCCAAGCAGACGAGATTTCGTGTGCAGGCGAGGAGGGTGATGACCCCAACTATCGTTCAAGGGCTCGGACACCAAAGCCATAGGAATGAGGACCGAAGGAGGGATTTTAAGAACCCCTCAAATTTGAGGGTTCTAGCAGTGGCTCTACTGAAGTTTTTTTTTTAGCTTCGATATTTGTGTGTGTGTAAATAACAGATTCGTGGTCAAATCCCAAAAGTCTGACTAACACCGTTACACGTGTCTCTAAGCGCCATTAATTCCGCAGGTGCTTTTTTTAATGCAATTCCACAGGTGCTTTTAACCCAAATGGAATGCTACTCTGCTTTTTAGAGCGAAGCACTCAAAAGTTTAAGCACACACCGCCGACGAAAAGAAAACCGCATATCTAAAATGGTAGGCAGGCGCACAAACGCTGAACGCACGTACCGTGCGGCGGCCAACTTTCGTAGCGGGAAGGCAAGCATCACGCCACGCGCCGGCAGGCATGCACACGTGTTCCTTTCCATTTCCTCACGCGCGCCCACCCAAACTTATTTATTTCGGATAGAAAAAGAATTATATTAGATAATAACCGGATACATCAATACGAAATTCTCAATACGTTACGAGCACTTAGAATACATTACAGATATCCAAAAACTGATTTTCATCTAAATTGCACCCACACCGTGAATAGCTCTAAATCTCAAAACCAAATCTACATGACGTTTCGTATGGAAAATCGCACGAGCAAACACTCGACAAAAAAAAGACCAAAGAATAGATGCCCGATAAACAACGGCTAACATTCTTGCATGCGGATCTGAGAAACTTGTGTTGATTACCCAGACCACCACGTACGAATGTACGATGACTCGATGAGTTGCCAGGATTAGCCGGTGGTGTCGCATCGTCGGCCCAAGGTGACGGCGACATGCATGCATGCATGACGCGGCGGCGCACCTGGAAAACGCAACGGATCGGCCGGCCCAGCGGAGAGTCCGTGCCCTGCTCCGGCCAAAAGAGCACACGGAAAATACTTCCCACGCGCGCACGCCGCCTGCGTGCGCTGCACCGTATATAAACGCGAGCAAAGAAGATCTCTCCGATCCGGCGTCTCCTCTCCCTCCTGTAGTTTTCAAGCCGCCGGCCGTCAGAACCGATCCAGATCCAGATTCACGCACGTGCTCTTTACCAGGAGCTCTCTCTGATCAGTCCATGGAGACAACGATGCCGGTGCCGTCGTCCAAGAAGAGGCGGTGCTGCGACACGGAGCTGCGCCTCGGCGGCGGCTGCGCTGACGACGCGGCGCCGGCTCTGTGCTCAAGGGAGAAGAAGAAGGCAGCGACGACGACCGGCGGCGCGCACTGCTACGCGTACGACGGCGATCGACTACTGACGTTGCAGTACCTGGTGGTGGTGCCCGCCGCCGGCGGCCGCGACGTCGACGTCACGGGCGCGGAGGTCCAGGCGAGCGCCATCATTCGCATGGCGAGGGCGGCGGCGGGAGCGCAGGACTCGGACCGCGGCGCGTCGAGGAGGCGGAGATCGCTGGGCCGGTTCTTGCAGCGGCGGCGGGAGGTCAGGACTCAGGAGTGTGCACAACGGCGCCTCCAGTCCTCACCTCCGTGTCTTCATGCACCAAACTCGCACCGAAATCTAGCATTGCAGCTACTACTGTAGCACGTAGAATCGATTTCATTTTTGTGTCCCATGTCAGGGGCCAGTGGGCCACCGTATTAGTGGTGAATAATGCATGTTGATATGTATTTCAGTATATACGAATGCCTGATCTCTTCTCACTGAGTATATACAACATATATGTCTCATCTTCCAACATCACATATCACAACTTGACATTTGGATTATACTAGCTAGCAAACAAATTCATGTGTTGTTATAACCAAACGTACACCTCATATTATTTCATGGTCGATCACCTGGGTGACATGTGGGTTGTGGCTCGAAGATTTATACAACGATCGCGTCATCTATTCCAATATGTATTGAAATCGGACTTTAGTATGTTACATCATCGATAAACTCACAAAAGCGTGAGGTTCTACTAACTCGTATGAGCACAAGTAGCGAGTCCGGATCCTAAACACGCATGGATCGGACAGAAGAATCCCTTCGATCTAAAGTACCTTTATTCACTCGCACTTTCAATTATCTATGCCAATCGCTTTTTCTTAGTGTTGCATTTTTACTACCTATTGCTACCTAGCATCATTCTACATGACGCGCCGCCGCTAACAAGATTGATGGGCCCATTAGCAGGGATGGGACCCCGGGGGAGTAAATCAAAATGGTTTCAGCTTATTAAAATTATGAGCTCGTTTGGCTGGGTTCTCGAAGGCTCCGGCTCCCTTGCTCAGCTGTTGCTGCGCACTGTATAAGGATTTGGGTCCTCTTCAATAGCATCAACAGGAGCAGCCGAAGCTAGCATTTTGGGCTCCGCCGGCTCCTCTATAATACCACTACAGTGTACATGAAGCCGGAGCTAGACGGAGCCCCTCCAAATATGGTCTCACAATGTATCATCTAGCATTTTTTTAATAGCTAACTGACCTAGGGCCTGTTTGGTTATACACCACACACTGCCATGATTCAGTTAGGGCGAGTTGTGGCCCGCCACAGTTGTGGAGGAAAAATCGAATGCCACAATATGTGGCAAGAACTGAGTCTGAAGCTTTTGTGGCAGCTGAAACTTTCGCGTCAACCAAACACCAATGTGGGAAACTGTGTCGGGCCACAATGGTGACGTGGCGGAGTGTGGCTGAAATCCAAACACCCCACTACTTTGCCGGATGACACCATGAAATTCTAAATTTTATTTACTTTTATTTTACCTAAAGTTTATTTTTAAACACAATACAAACATAAATTCTTACATGCACGGATGCACACCCAGCCATATCAATATGTGCATGTACTATTCTACTCCTATGACCACCTATAAGGACAGCTTCAACATCCGGAATAAAGGAGGTGCATAGAGAATCTTTGAGGTGCTAGCACTTTGCTAAATTATCGTGCATGAGCGCACGTGTGTGGAAGTGGTACAAATTAAAAATATACTTCTCCCAAACAAGCACACTGCTCCCTCTTGTCTCTTCAAGCTCCGACCTTGTGCAACTCTTGTGCATGCACGGCTCGCCGATTGCAGCCGTGGGCGTCGGAGAAGTACTTGCCGAGATCCCTCGTCATGAACCCGCCGGCGCGCTCCCGCGGCTGCGGCAGCGTCGGCATTCTCTTGAGCGACCACGCCGCCGCGAAACCGTAGTCTGATGGTGACCCGCACGCCACCAGCTGCTCGGCGATGGTATCCTCGGCGATGGTGTCCAGGCACCACGGCACCTTCCTCCGCCGCATGACCGACACCACCGGTGGCGGCGCCACCTCCGTCATGAACCTCGCCGGCGCCGCCACCTGCGCCTTCGCCATGATCGTCGACGAGATGACAAACACAAACAACAAGACGGTAGTATCTCTACTCGCTCCAGTGTTGTTGTGTATGTATACGTCTTGTCAATTGCACGATGTGTTGTGAGCAGAGCTTGGCGATGGAAGCTCATATTTATAGTGAGCGCCAGCACCCAGCTACGCCTACGCGCGACGCCATGAGCCATACGGTAGCGAGACGTGGACAGCGCCGTCGCCTCTCGGAGGCGCATCGCACAGCTGTGCGAACCCAGCTTGCTTGCACGTCAAGACGCTAGCTGCCTGCCTGAAAATCCCAAGCGAACGCCATACGGGAGGGCCGGCCGGCCGCCGTGCGCGCGCGGGCAAAGGCTATATCTGGCGGCACGCATGCACGCACATGCCTATGCCTCGCTCTCGGCTTTCGGAGGCAAGCAAGCAAGCGTGCCTCCATGCGCAACGCGGCGCGCGGTGACTGCGAGAGCGTTCAACGGCGGAGTTAATTCAGCCCGTGTCGCGGCGCGGGCGCGTCGGCGTCCGTCGCTGCCGCCGGGCTAATGGAGCCTTTTTGGTTTAACGAGCGACGCCGACGGGGCGCCGGCCGCGGCGCGACGTGGCGGGGGGCGCCGTGTGATGCGGGGCTCCGTGCGGTCCGCGTGTGGCCATGGTCCGCGCAGGGAACGCTTGGCCTATCGACGACGGTTGGCGATCGGAGCGCACGGGCGGCGGCGCGCGCGTCGTTCTCCGTTCATGCGGGCCATGTGGGCGCGCGCGGGCACGGCCGGCGTTATCCGCGTGCGGAAGCGTGTGAGATGTGTGCTGCGATGTCGTGCACTGTAGGGCACGCGAACATTTTTTTTTCCAGGACAGTGGCGCCGATGTAGAAAGTTGAAAGTAGACATGTAGCGGAGACAAGTACAACCTCAGTATGCGAAGCCCACACACACTCGTGAGAAGCCTCATAGGATGCAATCTTAGAATGATCGGTGGAGATGCCACAAAAGTCTTATCAAAGACTTCCACAAATGGTCGTACTCGTACCAACTTACAAGCACATAAAGCCCGCCAATGATATGGTATTTGGAGATAAAGCCACATTTGAGTTGTTTGATTCCTTGTTTAGGCCCTTTAGCCATGCCCAACTTAGCCACCGATCACCCCTTGGCCTGGGGCGGAGCCTGGCTTGGCCAGGAGCAAATCGCCGTTCGGGCCACCTCCCGTCCGCCCGAAGCGGACCTCTTTCGGGTCGCCTTCCCTACCTACGGTGGCGCACCTCCATGCTTGCCCCCACCCTCGCGATCGCCATGCTCGCGCCACCACGCCTGCCACACTCCTCGCCGGTTGCCGGTCGCCATGCTCGCACCTGCCCAGCTGTCTGCTCACCCCGATGGCGGCACGGCTGCGACACCATCTCCGTGAACGAGCTGGCTGCGCCATGACGCTTCCCGGAGCTTGCCATCTCTGCCACCGTGCCATCCCGTCTCCATCTCCTCCACCGTGCTGCCCGGAGCTTGCGAAATCAGGAACGAATTGACCTGCATCTATTCCTCCTCCGGCAGTCCGCTCACCCCGATGGTGGCACGGCGATGACGCCATCTCCACGAATGAGCCAGCCGCGCCGTGACGCTTCCCGGAGCTCGCCATCTCCACGCATCTCCGCCACCGTGCCATCCGACGCCATCTCCGTGGCAGGAGGCATGGCGACAGTGGACGTGCGAGTGTCCAAACAAGTTGTTCGATGAAATGCCTTACCAGAATAGAGAGGAGGCAATTCCACGCAAAACAAACCAGACAACCAAGCTAGTCAGGCTTAGAGAAAGCATGCAACCAGAGATTGGCTCGCTGGAGACAGGCTTCTGCTATCCAATCTTAGGCTAGAAGTAAGCTAAGAACCAAACACACCCATCACATCTACAGTGCTAGCTAGGACGAGAGCAGTGCTGACGTGCTAGTATGAGAGCAATCGATTCCACATGTTCTGCGCTCGCTTTATCCCAGGAGACTGTGTGGATTCGATTGTTCTCATCCTAGCATGCTATCCTGCTCAGATCCTTGGTGGTTCATTGCGTGTTGATCCAGTGGCCAGGCGTGGGCAATTCGAAGTTCTAGTGATCAATCGTTGAACCTTTCAATTTATACTGGGGTAGTGCGTGCATAGTGATAAGCTTGTGTTGGAATTCCCAAGTGAATGAGTACAAGTGGAGGGTTCCCACCTCCGGTTACATTAATTAGCATGTATGAGCGATTACGAAGAACATACACAGAAATTGAATTCAAGTTCACCAACCATCAGGCAGGTCGTCGATAGACGTCCTGTTCGCTCGGCTTATAAGTCGTATTTTTTCAGCTAACGAACAGTAATTTTCTTTCACAACAAATCAGTCAGCCATGGCTTATCAGCCAAGCGAACAGGGCAAGATAATATGAAAAGTGCAAGCTAGGTGGCGTCATCTCACTTCAATTCACTACATGACAGAAATAGAACAAAGTCTCATTGATAGCTTCACTATTTTATCTGAACATATTAGTGGTACCATAAATAAATATGTTCTGATGTCACTGTTGAGCATGGATGGCAAATAAAAGTTCACTACTTGTATGAACTGAAGGCCAAAACATTATATTAAGTCTTACTAAGAAATCATCTGGTAAAAGCATGACTACTCCAATGTTGCAGGATTTGATACTTCATCAAACTGTAGTTTTCTAGCAGCCGAAGCATCTTGGTGAAGACCAAGTATATTGAGACTTGTATATCCTCCTTGGGTTGGATGAGCAACCATGGTTGGAAATTCACTATATGCGTTGGTTAAATAGCCTGGTGGTGCAATATTAACATCAGTGCTTGCATGAGAAGGATCCTGTGTGTTAAAAAAAATATTTAGAACATATTCTTGTAATTGAATCATTCAAAAACAGGGCCATTTACAATCAATTCTTCTGGATCTTGTCCAAGTTCTGTATTGTCCTTTGCAGTGTTTGGTTGTTTTCCTAAGATTAAAAAAACAGGGAATAAATATTGCTACTTACAAAACAGAGCAAAAGGTATATTCTCAACTCCACCGTACCATTGCTTGAAAAATTCATACACTTGTACCGGCAGTATTCCAGCCCCCCGTATTTGAGAAATTAGCACAACGTTGCAGCAGGGGTCGTCCCTAACACTAGAACCAGATGTCGCCGCTGCGTTGTCAGGGGAAGGGAGTAGTTTCAAAGAGGCCCTTCATCCCACGTTATGGTTTGCCGCTAAAAATTGGCTCTCCCAAGGTAGGAAGGGAATTCTTGGACATGTTGCAAGCCTATGTTTCAAGTATTTCAGTTGTTTCAGAT